GGCGCCTGGGTGGCTCAGTTGGCTAGCCCAACTTCGGCTCAGGTCATGATCTCGCAGTTTGTGGGTTCGAGCCCCACGTCGGGCTCTGTGCTGACAAGCTCAGAGCCTGGACCCTGCTTCAGATTCGGTGTCTCCCTCTCTCTCTGTCACTCCCCCACTTGTGGTCTGTCTCTCTCTCAAAAAAATAAACATTTAAACAATTTTTAAGAAAGAAAGCACAGTGATGAAGACCTCTGTTGGTACTTGCTAAACCGTTTACATGTATCATCTCGTTTAATCCACGTATCCCCCTACCAAGCTGGCACCCTTTTACAAATAAGGACACCAAGGCTTAGGTGAGTGCCCAAAGTCCCACAGCTTGAAGGCAGTGGGACCGAGTCCTTTTGACCTGGTGCCTGTGGTCTTGACCACCCACTACCGTATGTCCAATGATAACCACGACCTGAATGGTGATAGTGCGAAAGATGAGCCATCTGAGCCCACAGGAAGGCAGCGAAACCAAATAAATCAACAAATCTCTAGCCAGGGGACATTTGATTCGGGCTGACCCCTGCCCCCACTTTTGGTAATGACCACATGACAAATAAGAAGGAGAGATGGAGACTCCCCCAGAGGGCCTCTGGTGCTGCCCACAAGTGAACTGCTTCTCTCTGCATGTGTCCCCCCATCGCCCCTAGCTGGCTGTGCGCACAAGATCAGCAGTGCAGAGGGGACCCTGGCGAGCCCCAACTGGCCTGACAAATACCCCAGTCGGAGGGAGTGTACCTGGAACATCTCTTCAACCGCGGGCCACAGGGTGAAACTCGTGAGTCATTTTCATAGTTTATGGACAACACGGACTTTGGTTTCAGAGGCATGTGGCTGTGAGTCTCTGTGCTGCCACTTTCCAGCTCTGAAACTTGGGAAAGTTACTCAACATTTCCAGAACTCAGTTTCATTATCTGGAAAATGGGGATGCTAACGAACCCCCCCTCGCGGGCTGCTGTGCGGATTAAGAGAGGACACACACACAGCTCTCAGCACAGGGCGGCAGTGAGAAAAGCCCTCTAAAGAGCACCTGTTGACAGCGGTACCGGTATGAGGTGACATTCACGGCACAGATCGGTAGAGCTATTTCAGATTTGCTTGTTTCCAGGTGTAATCTTTGACAAAACAATACATTCTCAGGGTTAAAAAAAAAGTAACCAGTACAGAGTGTTGGCAAGTGGGAATCAAAAGCTTCTAGATCTCCCATGGCCACTCCAGAAATGACCTCTCTGAGCGCTTTTTGGAAAATCTTTCCAGAAATTTCCTATGCATACACAATAGTGTATGTACATGCATGGGAAAAATATATGTTTCTTCTTGCCCAGACTTCTCCAGTGGATGCTTATTATTATCCGTATTTCTCTAGAACTTACATTTTTAAAAATTAACAATAAGAGATTAAGTTATTTATGCTAATTCTCTCTTGAGTTAAAAAATATGTATCTTCCAGGCATTTCCTTAAAGTCCCTCGTGCATTTGATTGTACGTGTGCGTACCATACTTGGTTATTTCAAAGGAGAAACTAGTCTGTGGTACCAATCTCGTTTCTCAGCCCCCAGAGTATCCCAGATCCTGGAGTGTAAAACTCTCTTGCTAGCTGGAGAAGGTATACTCCAGACAGACGTTTTTTAAAAGGGTCTTTCTGACTCTGAGGTTTGTGAGCTCTTCAGAAGGCACATAGATGTTCCTCCGAAATATGGGCCAATATAATGCAGGGAGAATGGGAGAGAACAAAGGAGGTGGTGACGATAAGCAGACAATGGCTCCGGGGACTTTCGAGGGTGTTTGCTGGCAGGTGAGAGAGGGGAGGACAGGTACGCGATGGGCCGCCAGAACAGAGCGCAGGTGCTGGTGTCTGTCTGTGCCAGGCCCAGGGCAGTGAGGGGTGGCAAAGGCAGAGCCCACGACCACAGGCTGCTCACAGCGGGCACCCCATGTGCATGGCTGCCCATGGGGGAAATGTGGCGGCGGCGGCCTTCCTGGGTGTCAGAACAGCCTTGAATCTGGGTGAGGGTGAAGTAGAGTGCCTTAGAGTAAGGCACTCCTTCCCCAACGCTGCCTTCTGCGGGGGAAGGTTCCCGACAACATTCTTCTAGGCTGCGGGCTGGGGAATGGCGCCCCCTGGGGGTGGGAATGTGCAGCCTGCACAACTGGAAGTCGTGCTTCTAAAGGGCACAAGATTTTAGCAGTTGCTAAACGTCTTCCTCTTCTTTACTGTGCTAAGGAAGCAACTGATCCAGTGGCCAGAGTTAGGCCAGATCTCAAATTTACAAGTTTTCTAGTAAAAAAAAAAAAAAAAACTCCCTTGGGAAGTGCATGGTGGATATACTGATCATGCTCTATCTTTTTGCTTACGCAAAAATGTAATGCTCACACATTTTTTTGCTTACACAGAAAATGTGAATCAAATACTTCCCAAGAAGCTGGTGTTTCACTGTATGGGCACCGCAACAAGGTGTCTCATGGGTGTCCCTCCCATTGCCTCACCCACCCTGATGCCGCTGGTCCCCCCTCCTGCTCTTGCCCACTGCCTCTCTATCACCCTCCACCCAGCTCCCTTTCTGTAAGGTGTGAAGGGCTTTGCTCATTCCTATTGTGTTTATCATTCCTACGAGAGCCCACACTGCTAATGACCCCTCTCCATCTCCATCCCTGTCCTGTCTCTCCAGAAACTTTCTTATGAATTCAGACCCTCCTTACCAACCCCATCCCTCCAAGTCCTCTCTTCCTGCTCTGTCATTTGGTTCACACCTTCATTTAACACTGTCCCCTCTCACCTTGTCCCATCTCCCTGGAAGCCATGGGCAGGCCATAAGTCATTCAGCTGCCCAGTCCCTGGTGCACGGCCTAGAATTGAGGGGCTCCTCTGGCCAGCTTTGGGGGACGGTCTTCAGGGGGCAGGGAGGAGGTAGGCAGTATAGCCTGGTGATGGTTAGGAGTGTGGGCTGGAGTCAGGCTGGCTGGGGCTCACGTCCAGCTCCCTCCTCCTCTGGCTGTGTGAGTTTGGGCAAGACACTTTTCTAAGACTCATTTTCCCCTTCTGCACATTGGGTGTAATACTAGCTCACAGCACCATCAGAATTAAGTGAGAAAATGTTCGTGAACATTTGGCACAGGACTCTGCATGGAAAAAACCCTCCTCGAATGCCAGACACTATGAGGGTGCAGACACAGAGCAGCGAGCACTTCGTACAGCCTCATCCACATCACTCATGGTCAAGTATAGTGCAGAGGTTAAAGGCAAGGGCTCTGCAGGTAGACCTCCTGGCCTTGGCCCAGTTCTACCACTGGGTGACCTTGGGCGAGTCGCCTGACTTCTCTGTGCCTCAGTTTCCTCATCTGTAAAATGGGGGTTGTAGTTGTAGACACAGCACAGGGGCATGAGGATTATACGAGGTTATATTTGTGAAGCGCTTAAAACAAATCCTGGCGCAGTGAGCACTTGGCCATTGCTGCTGTTGGGGCTGACAACAAGCATCTCAGCTCTGGGAGCCCAGCCATCTCACCCGCAAAGTACTCACAGCAGCAATCGCTCATGTAACTGCCTCGTGGGGGTGCCTGGGGACCAGCAGAGGGCCCGAGTTGAGACTCTCGCTGTAGATGTCGCTGTCCTCACCTGGGCGCCATGCCCCCTACGAGGCTGGTGGGGGCAGACGAGTGTCCTGCCTCGCCCCATCCTCTCTCAGCCCCCAGAGAGGCGGCCCCCACCCCAGCTGAGTGCCAGGCCCCTGTCTCACTTTCTGCTCTTCCGTTCCCCAGACATTCAACGAGTTTGAGATTGAGCAGCACCAAGAATGTGCCTACGACCACCTGGAGCTTTACGACGGAGCCGACAGCCTGGCGCCCATCCTTGGCCGTTTCTGTGGCAGCAAGAAACCAGACCCCGTGGTGGCTTCAGGCAGCAGCCTGTTCCTCAGGTTTTATTCGGATGCCTCTGTGCAGAGGAAAGGCTTCCAGGCAATGCACAGCACAGGTACGTGAGCGAGGATGCCCAGCCGCCCGCTGATGTCCATGTAGACTGGAGACAGACGGGTGATGGCGGCAGGGAAGGAACTGCCTTTCATTCTGACTCTTGGGGGGTAGGAGGCGTGTGATCAAATGTCCCTTCAAAAACGAAACGTGGGCAACCATGAGGGGAAGGGTGGTTTTCTCTTAATGTCCTTAATCGACAGCATTTGATGTGGGCAATCCCATTGTTGGTGTCACATTTCTTTCCTCTCTCCCTTCCTTCCTCCCATCCTCTTTTCAAAATTTATCTGTAATTTGACTGGTCTGTGAAATCCGAAAGTCTGGGAGCTGAGCGGTGGGGAGCAGCCCTTTTCACCCTCTAAGGACAAGTTCTGGAAAATGGAAAATGGTTCTTTATCTATTATTTTTCCTCCACTTAAAATGTAAATAGCTCTATTTGGTCCTTTGGAGGAAAATGTATATGCGTGTAACTAACACATCTATTTTGTTAAATAGAAGAATGTCAGTAAGAAAATGGGCTCTGCTCTTTTGCCATTAAAACATTACTCACAGAAATAACCGACTCTCTGATCCCGGTGTTAGACTGTGGCCCTTTGCCAAAGCAGTGGCTGCCCGCGGCCCACTTGGAGTCTGAGCTCATGATCCTGGGACCCTGTGAGCTTTAACAGCCCCCACCCCACCCAGTTTATTTTCAGAGCCAGAAGATACGAATCAGGAAAAACAAAATGACACCCGGCACCCTTAGGTGGTTTAGCTCGCCCACCTAGAAAACACTTTGGTGTCTGTAGAACTCTTCCAAGCTCCTTGAGGGTTCCAGCTTCCCCTAGGGAAGGTTAAAAGCCATTGACTGGTGACTCTACCCTCTAGTCCCTACAGAAAAAGTAGGTCAGGGTCCCAGCAGGAAATAAATCATTATTTGAGGAGAATTTTAAAAGGGACTGTTTACAAAGGGTCAGGCAGGGTGTGGGGACACCATAAAGAGCAGTGCAGTAGCCAGGACCAGGAACTACATGGGGGTGGGGGCAGGGGGTGATACCCCAGGCCAGGATGCCCAAGGAGGGAGTATGCAAGCAGAGTAACCCTCTTCCCCCCACCTGGAGCTGTGCCCTTCAGTTGAACAACACAACCTGTGGTGACCAGGCAGGGAGGGAGCCTGGGATTAAACACCCTGACCTCTCTCCTTCCTCCTCTCATCTGCTGGTGTTCCCCATGGCTGAACCCAACCCAGAAGGCGGAGGGCAAGGGGGCTAGTCCATGTGGGCCTAGAGGTCAGCCTCTGGAGGCCCGGAACAGGTGGGGAAGAATGGAGAGAGGATCTGGCAAGGTGGATAGAAGGCATCCTGCCCTGCGCTGCGCCCATTTCATTGCCACCCATGTCACGTCGGGGACTCGAAATTTCCCAAAGACGGTTCACACCTGGAGGAAATTCTAAACAAGAGCACAGGGAGGGTTAAGAGTCGGCTGTCTGGGGGCGCCTGGGTGGCTCAGTCGGTTAAGCGGCTGACTTTGGCTCAGGTCATGATCTTGAGGTCCGTGAGTTCGAGCCCCGCGTCGGGCTCTGTGCTGACAGCTCGGAGCCTGGAGCCTGTTTCAGATTCTGTGTCTCCCTCTCTCTCTGACCCTC